GCTCGCTCGGTAAAGTGCGTTTCGGCGTCTTGCCGCAGCGGGGCGCCAGTCACGTGGCTCTCCTGTCACCTGTTGTCTGCCGCTTTACCTTTTCCATTTCGGTGGCTTCTTCTCGTGTCGATCTGCCAGGCTTTGTCAGTATATAGGTGGCTACGGTACACGTAACCTGCATGGGGCCTGTATTTCGGCCAGTAGTGTTTCCGAAAACAGACCGGAACAATCATCATTTAGGTCGAAACGAACAAAGAATCGGCATTGAGTCTAGGATCTCCGGATGCTGGAGCGCAAGCTTCCGCTCCACGCGCTAACACGCGCAGCAACAAATTCACCGCACCTGCATGTTACTCCCGATTTTTGTGCCGTCTGAATGAATTGGGTAGTCGCTATTGGTCCGATTAATGCGTTCCCACGTTATCTTTGAAGTGCGCAACAACAGTGTTTGTGCCCTTACACGCACTGTAAGGTCTGCATTGAACTGAACGCCTAGGTAGGTGAACTTTGGACACCCTATAGGGTTCAATGGGACCGGCACTTCTACCATCCGGCATTGAAATCTATCCCATTTTTGATGGTTCAGAATTGTATAACAAAATGCGAGCACGACTTCTACTACTCCAGCCCCCAGCCGAATTTCGACCACTGTACAATGTGTTTCCTAAACTACACCTTTCACAAGGGTGTCTCAGTTGGTGCGTGTATCTACCCAAATTTCCTACGTGCAGGTTTCCTGGACAAGTTTTCAGGCCAGAAAAATCTTGGTATTCGTATGCGGCGCGAGTAATATGAAGACAAAACGTCTGGTTGACGCTGCTACACTCCCAAATGGCACTACGAGAAAGCAAACTCTTAAAAGCTGCCTTGAGATGCACACATCTTAGCGCAGCACTTCTTAGCGTGGGTGAAACCATCTGTGTCAGTTGCAGTGGGAACCAGACGCTTTGCTTCCGTTTTTTTTCTTATAGGTGTTTACATTGATCTCACACTTTTCTTATCTTGAACCTTATTTTTTTTAACCCCTGAAAGGTGAATTACGAAATTTGAGCGCGATACCCTCACCACCTAATACACACTTACGAAAAGTTTATTCGAACTCCGTTTATTGACCATTATGAAGCATGCTGGCGCAAAAAAAAAAAAAAAGAAAAAAACAAGCAACGGGCACAAGAAAGAAGACAGACACACACACAGGCGCCTGCCTCGTGTCCGCTGTTTTTTGCGCCTTACACCATGCTTCACAACGTTTCCCAACCAGCCCGACTACAGTCCGTTTCTCGACCTAACCATACGTTTTGCTATACGTCTGAAAAGAGCTCGGGAACAGCCCGTACGATATACTAGAACGAGTGAACTTGTCCCACCCTCGCGCCGATTTGTGCTTCGAGATAAAGCGTCAGCCTCACAACTCTGTCGTATATATGGCCATAAAGCCTCGAGGTCTCTCTGCACGCAATCGTACGAAATACATAGCGTCCGCTGCACGCATGACGACAGAAGAATCTGCGTACACGCCTCAAGCAAGTTCGACGCACGTTTCGCTTCCTACCTTTGTAGGCTTCGAACATGCTTGCGGACAGTTTTTGTGTCGCCAACTTGAAAGAACCGACGGAAGAAGCGAGCCCCAGACTGTGTCAGCAGACTGCCCCTTGCGTAGCGTATTAGCGGTGGGACCGTGGCTTCAGGTGTTGACGAGCGAACGGACTCCAGCCAGATTCTTGAAAATGCATTTTCCTCAAGAAACGTGTCACATAACGATGCGGCTTCAAGGTTACACTCGCTGGCCGGGAGCCACGCATGTGACGTTCCTACAACGACCTCTTGCGTATACAGAGGTCACTCCGACAGGTCGGTGGCAATTAGCCAGCAGGTCTCAGCGCTCCCCGGTATGTTCGTGCACCACGTGACGCGGCTCCTTCGCAATTTCTTTTGCAGAATCAGTAAGATTAGAAAATGCTTTGGTACAAGCTTAAAGGGGCATTGATACAGCCCAAATGTTTTTGATTTTTTTTTTGTCAGGGAATTTTTTCATAGTGTAAGAAGAATACCCAATCAATATTTTGCTACCCTGTAATGTATAATATTTAAAAAAAAGTAAAAAAAAAAACGCAATTGCTGAAGAGCGAGGCCACAACTGGACTGGGGAGGAAGAAGAAATATAGAGGAGGAGAAAGATACTAAAAGTCACGTGGCTTTTTTCAATCAACATATTTGCATTTTGTTGGGAAGCGACAAAAAATGGGTACCATATTTTTTCTGTATTTCTAGCATTAAGTGTGTGCCTTCGATGACTCACCACTTTGATTTCTTTGGTGGTTGTGTCTAAACCATAGAAAACGGCACGTGACCACGGAGAAGGGAGTGAGCGCGACTGGAACCGGCCAGTTCTCGATCGGCGGTTTTCGGGGGGAAAGAAATCGAATTTCGAGTCGCAAATTGTGTTCTGGGTAGTTGGGTTCTCGCCTGTCGAGCACAAATAAAAACCTTGGCGAGCATATATACCCTGTCAGTGGACCTTTAAGTACATGTGCGGGCACCTCGGAAATTTGGGGCGGGTTAGCTGTTTTAAATGTCCCATTTTTAAATGTCCGGAATCGAAATTGCCGCTCTCGAGCAATTCTGCGGGTAACTATATTAAGCTGACGTATTGTTATGCTGAGTCTCGAGGGCGTTGGGTGAATTTTGTTAAGTTCAATTATCTAATCTGAGAATATATAGGTATTTCCGGCAATACTGAATACGCGACCAAGAATACGCGACCAGTGCCTGTCAACAGCCGAGAGGCCTACAGAACCGTACACTTTGTCGAATTAAACAAAGTCACTGTCGTTGCCAAAGTCAAAGTAAAAAAAAAAAAAAAATTGAAACAATGCTGCGACGGAAAGCGATACTTTCTGTCACAGGTTCAAAGACCACATGTCCGACGTTAGTCGTAAACCATCACTTCCCGTATCAAAACACTTTAGCAATGAAAAACACACACTCACGGACACCACTGAGGTCATCCTACAAGAGGGGTTTAAAACACAGACGGGTAGAAAAATCCGCGAGTATTGCCTGGCCCCAAATTCCAATGCACAGTAAATGAAGACGCTGGAACTCTTTCCACTGTTTACAGCTTAAAGAACAAAATTACAATGTTGCCTCCGCCCTACGTAGCCCCTCTCTCTCTCTCTCTTTGTTATGATGTTTTTTGTTTTTGTTTTTGTTTCAGATGCGACCGGACCAGCCACCACACCACCTGCGTCCCTCAGTAAGCTACAACTGTCCACCTCCTAAGCCACCGTGGCCATCAGCGATGGAACCACCGGATCCGATTGGACGAGCCCTGTAAGCCGACGAAAGCCCAAGACTCACAAGCCTGAAGACATCCGCTAATCCCCCTCGTGAGCCTTCAACCGACCCACCCCACCAAGTCAGCGAGAGTGATGCCTATTAACTGAACTGATCTTCGGATCCTTTCGAATCGTCGCTTTCACCTTCCGTGAAGCAAACTTGAGAGGAATGGACCCCGTCATCGTCGAATACATTTCCCTTTCCCTTAGCCAATGTGTAAAATGCACTACCAAGTGTCCGTCGGCCGACGTCCCGAAGACTCCAGTGCAACTGCCGAAACGTCGACGTCATCCCACCAGAATTTTAGACTTTTTTTTTTTGCTTTATAATTATTCTTTATTATCCCGTAATTTCTTGTGTTTACAATTGTCATCAATCATTACTATTTTCATCTATTGATTCCACCAGTTTAAACTGAATTTTTTTTCATCCTCCAGCTGCAGGTTAGTCTGCGCTCCCCCTTTTTCTTTTCACACACACACACACACACACACACGCACACACGCACACACACGCACGCACGCACGCACGCACGCACGCACGCACACACACACACGCACGCACGCAAGCACACGCACACGCACACGCACACGCACACACACACACACATATATATACATATATATGTCTTCCTGACGAAGGCCAGACTCCGGCAGAAACGTCAAAGAATAAATCGTCCGTTGTTGCTGTTTTCACTAAGGGTTTTTTCTTCTCTCTCTCTCTATATATATATATATACATACATACACACAGTAAGAGGTGGAGGTCTTGGCTACCGAGAGTGTGTATGAAATAAAGAGGCACTTGAAAAACTTAACTCCTTTACTAGGAGTTAAGTTTTTGAAGTGGCTGTTTATTCCATATATATATCCGTCCACGGAAGCCACACGTTACTCGCAGAAGAACAGCAGAAATCTTGGAGTGAGGTAATTAAGACGAAACGAAAGCCTTTTTTGCGTTGTGAGGTACACGATTACGTTCAAATCTTGGAGTTGTTAACACTTCGTAAAAGATAATTTTGCTAACTCACTAGAGGAGAACAAGCCAGTAACTGAGTCGTTGCTAAAACGACTTAGAATAACGGAAAAACCACATTGCAGAAATCCCGCACTGGGCTCACAATAGATGCCACACTTCGTTTACAACCGAGGTGTAATGTCAACAGAGTGCAGCGCTAGGAGCATGAAGGACTGTTAGCAATTGAGCAAGTTCTACCCTAATAAAGCGTATAAGCCGTGAGCAAAAGCGTGCACAGAATGACTTGAATGCGCGCCACCCTACAATGCAAACGCGTACCCTAGTTTCACTGGCAGCGGTTGCGTCGGAATAGCGGGCAAGGGCAAGACGGCTCACGAGAAAGAAAACTTTCCTCGCTCCTTCCCCCCCTCCCCCGCCCCCCCCCCCCCCCCCCCATTTTATTTATACCGATTCGGGGGAGGGAAAGGAAAACCTGCTCGCCCAGTCCCTCCCATCGCTCCCCCCTCTCCACATTTTCGAATGGTTTCCATGCCTCTGACTGGCGCTTCAAATGGCATCAGAGCAACCTCCTGTATTAAAAAGTCTACAAATCAGCTCCTGATCCCGACGGCACTTTAAATTACCCGCGAAACGGGTGACTACATTTGTAAAGCGGATCGTTTACAGTCACGAGGGAAGTTGAAAAACGTTACCTGATAGCAGAGAAGTCCGGTAGGTCATGCTAGTCCATGTGATCAGGATAGAACGTTTTTTTTTTTCAGAGCCGTTTCACGACATACTCGCACGAGTCGGTGCTTCCGACTTAATGCACCTAGCGACTCAAGCCGCTGCCGCAGGGTGTTATCGATCCAACAAAACAAAAAGAGCAAGAGCCAGAAAGAGAAGCGAGAAAACGGTGCCAAAAAAAAAAAAAAAAGCAACGGCAAGGTCAGTGACGTCAGGCACGTTCTTTCCGTCGTCTCCTACGAGCCGCTCGCTGGCCGCGTCGTCGTATCCTTCTGCTTAATAACGCTCGCGGTGAAAAAACTAAACAAAGAAAAAAAGTATTAAAAAAAAATAAATCTTTTTAAGAGGGACCACAGTTTAGTTAAAGATAGAAAACAAAAAAAACAAAAAAACAACACAAAAACAACGAGGATTTTGATTCACAAATTGACCCCAATAGACTCCCCCCTCCCCCCCCTCCCTCCCTTCCCTTCCCTTCCCTCCCCTCCCCTCCCCCCCCCCCCCCCCCCCCCCCCCCCCGGGACGCTTTCAGCTAATTGGAGTGCGTGGCGGTCTATGCTTAGGTCGTTTCCGAAAGCGTGCGGTGTGAGCTTCATCTCTCGGCGGTCGTGTACAGCTGCGGAAGGAGAAAGGGCCTGGCGGGAAATTGACGGTCGATATGAAAGGCATTCTACTCTCGCTTTCATGCCTGCGTTCGGAACTAAAATCATATATTGTAGTTTTCTGGCATATGATTATTGAGAAGTTTTATCATAATATTTTGATCGTTGGCTCACTGTTACTTTTCGGAACGCATCTCAACAGCGTACACAGCAATGCCGAATAAAAATGCAAAAAGGCCGCAACATTCCAGTGGACTTGCAGGGGCATGCTGGCGCGAAGGAAACAAATCGAAAATCTCATCAGGTATTTGAGACGCTGTTACAGTCATGGATATCACAATCTCGCTTCTAGCCACGTCTCTTTTAAAGCCCTCCGTAACCAACGACCCAATGAACCGGGTGAGATAAGCTATCTAATCTGGAGTGGACCCATCATAATCATGTAGTTGTGTGGAGGGGCTTAAGATATGTGCTAGTGGCGCTCCAGAGCTTAAGAGTCAATTGTTTTCTTCTACGTGTGGCAAGTACGTGCTGGTCACGTGTTAATAAAATTCTGGATTGGCAAAAAAAAAAAAAAAAAAACGCAAAAAAAAAAAGAACTACATTGCTAAAGAAATATTCCTGAGACTGAGTGTTAGGGTTACATTGTTGGGATTACTTTGGATTGAAAACTATTTAAGAAGGCGCCGCGCTGCTCCGCAGCTTGCTGTAACCGACTTTATCCTCACCGGCTCAATATTTTGCAAATTTTGTAAAGTGGGGATTTCGAGGATATTTACTGGAAACAAATGTTTCTGCGACTGGAATTGATAACTTGTATATCCGTTACCAGGGGGTGATACCTTCGCGTGATAAATATTTCGCGATATATTTCAAGTCGCGAAATTGACTCAAAGAATGGCATACATACAAAGTTAAACATATTAAAAAAAAAAAAAAAAAACGCGAGAAAGACAAGGACAAGAAGTATACAGGACAAGCGCTAACTTTCGTATAGTTTTACTCAGGAAAAGCAATTGCATATATATATACACACGACAGGCAAAGCAGCACCACATAAAAGTTGACTAATTTTGTGCGGGATCATTCAAAAACTGAAACTCATTACTATGAAGTACAATAGAAATGTTGCTGATACATGCCGTCCCACGTTTTTGATAAAGAATGCTTCCAATAGCTTTCGAGCGACCGTCTCTCGGCTTCTACCCAGAATCCTCATCTGCTGAAATCGCGGAACGCAGCCACACGCGTTGCAATATATTGGCGAATGCGAGCCATATTTATTTTTCACTGATAATGCGTGCTCCCGTGCTGGGTCATTGATGCACCGCCCCGTCTGGCCGATGTATATTTTACCACAACGCAGTGGGATTTCGTAGACCACACCCACTGTGCAGTCCACGTAAGGGGTGACGTGTTTCTTATCACATGGTGCTTTTGCCTTCTCATCAGAAATGCGGGAGCACAGCCGAGCCATCTTCTTTGGGACAGAAAACACAACGGGAACATCGTACTTGCTTGCCACTTTCTTCAGGTTGTGGGCAGCCTTGTGGGTGTACGGAATAACTTCTGGTCTTTTTGTGCTCTGCCTCGTTGGGACCTTTCGTTTTATTTATTTATTTATTTATTTTAATACCTTCAACGCCACACGGCATTACAGAAGGGAGTGGGGGAAAAACAAAAGTACAAAAAATCGAATTCAAGGCATCTTAGTTTACATAATAGTTTTCAATGCCAGACTTGAATGCAGGAGCGTCTGTGATTGTGGCGATGGAGGTTGGCAGGTGGTTTCAGTCATTAGTAGTTCTTGCGATAAAAGAATAAAAAAAGAGCTTCGTGCGACTGAAAGGAACGTTGACTTTATGGTGATGATCATTTCGATGGGATACATACGATGGTTCAAAAAAAAGCTCTTCACTTAGATGCTGGTTGTGATGATAAATTTCGTGAAATAAGGACAAATTAGATAATTTTCTATGCAATGAAAGATTTGGAAGATGTAAAGTTAGTTTCATGAATGAAACACTGGAAAAACGTGAGAAATTAGACAAAATAAAACGTGCGCCTTGATTTTGTACAGATTCAATTTGATTAATTAGAAATTCATGGCCTGGGTCCCACACCGAACTGGCATACTCAAGCTTGGATCTAACGAGGGTCTTGTACAGTAGTAGTTTTAATGATGAAGGAGCCCTTGAGAAGTTGCGGCGCAAGTAACCTAGCATACGATTAGCGTTGTTAGCAATGAAATTAATGTGAGTTTGCCAGGAGAGGTCAGATGTTATATGGAGACCTAGGTACTTGTACGATGTCACCTGTTCAAGAACAGAACCGATGTTGTATTGAGGAAAGTTAGTACAGGCAGCTTTCCGTGAAATTCTCGTTACTTTACATTTACTGGCGTTAAGGCGCATTTTCCAGACGTCACACCAGTTAGTAATTGAATTAAGGTAAGTCTGAAGAAAAGACGTATCAGTACCAGAATAGATTACACGATAAATGACACAATCATCGGCAAACAACCTTAAGGATGACTGGACATTGTTAACGAGGTCATTTATGCATATGAGGAAAATAAGGGGGCCGAGGACGGAACCTTGCGGCACACCCGAACGAACAGGGCAGGGAAGAGAGTTTGAGTCGTTTGCAGATACAAACTGTATTCTGTTAGAGAGAAAATTTTCGATCCATAAAAGAATGTTAGAGTCAATGTTTAGTTGTTTTTTTTAAATTTTAGGCAGAGCAGTTGGTGAGGGACTAAATCAAAGGCTTTCGAAAAATCAAGAAATATGCAGTCGATTGAAAGATTATTGTCTAGCGCAGAGAAAACATCGTTCGTGAAACAAACCAGTTGTGTTTCACATAAGAATAATTTATGAAAACCATGCTGACGATATGTGAAAAATGAGTTGGATTCAAGAAAGTTAACAAGGTTAGAATAGATGATATGCTACAACATTTTACATGGGACACTAGTTAAAGATATCGGCCTGTAATTGGCCTCGTTGGGACCCTTCTTTTCAACCCCTTCATTTCTCGTAGGGCGGTCCCCGCCACAGAAACCAAGACCGAACACGGGAAGCCAGCCAATTCCAGTCTAGAAATCTGATATTGAGATACTGAGGTCCGAATTCTGGCGCCAAGTCCGGCTCTTCTATGACCTGTTGCGTGTCCTGCGCTACACTGACTGTGTAGCGGAGGGGAACGTTCGTTCATTTCGCAGTTTGGCCGCGCAGACTACTGAGTTTTGGTGGCATTTCACCCTACTTCGAGTGCCCAGGGCAGCCGAGAAGGCAACAACCCCGGAGAGTTTGCTCGTAATGGGCGACACCAGCATTCCAGCTCTTCTGTCCTCAAGAAAAGACCGAAATTCAGTACCGAACCAAAGATTCCAGCCCATGAGCACTTGCTCTTAATTGCCGGATGTCCAGCAAGGCGGAACAGGAAGACCGTGAAGAATGTGTTCTTGGTGGTGCTGACTGTCTTCTGCGAACTGTAACCAGGAGTTCTCGCCGATGCAAGGAATCGACTGACAGTGCGGTGGCTTTCTTCAGGGAAAATATCTCAGACTTTTATAGGTGGACAAAGTCTCATCGTCATGCCGTCTGAAATTTTCAAGGATTGTGCAGAAAAGACCATCATGAAGAATCAATTGTCCTGGCTAACGTCAAACAGCGAAAGGTAAACCGTAATGTGTAAGAGCCCAGAGCTACAAAAACTGGCAAAAGTTGTCTGCGATTAAAAAAATGTTACTTCAAAAACATTTTTAATGTAAAGACGCATAAGGACGGTTTTCCGTTCAGAAGTATCGTTAGCGAGAAAGGTACCTACCTGGCAACAGCAGGTCAGCAAACATCTGCTAAAACACTCTTAATGTACTTACTGTGGATGACCCCTTCGCGAGGAGGAACTTGTTGGAAGTGATCGAAGAATCAAGAATTCACAGCTCTGTTGGCTTAGCTTTCTCTATTGATATAAAGGATTTGCTTTATTTAGCGCCCCATCAAGAAATGCACCGTTCTGTCATCGGGTGTATTGAGGCAAGTGGCGTGGTGGCTTTCCAGAATGCTTCTGGTATTCCTCTGGACAGCTTCATGGCATTACTGGAATTCTATCTAGGTAGCACGTTTTTGTCGTTCGATGACAAGCTATTTATCCAGCGCAATGGCATTTGTATTGGGTCGCTTTGTAACATATTTTTGTCCGCTCTCGATCGTGATTTAAATCGTACTCATGTTGAATTAACCTGAGACTGGGGTAGAGAAGAAACATCAAAACGTAGAAGGGACAGAAAATAGACAGGACGACGTCTCGGAGACGTCGTCGTGTGGGATTTCGTAGACCACACGCACTGTGCGGGCTACGTATACGTGGACTGCACAGTGCGTGTGGTCTACGAAATCCCACTGATTTGGGGTAAAATATACAGCAGCCAGACGATGCGGTGCGTCAATGACCGAGCACGGGATCACGCATTATCAGTGGAAAAT